TTGAGCGTAATGTAAACTGGTTGTTTGAGTTACTTGCAGACATGTTTCAACAAATGAAAGAATTTGAAATGAAAAAACCATTCATAAACCGATAAGCTTGAAATTTAAAGCGTTCATGCAAATTTTCAATCTTATTGAGTATTTTATCCACGCATTTAACATTAGTCCCTTTTAGGCGAGAATTAAATGATTCCATGATCCCAAAAATAATTAAGTGATTAAGCATGCTTTGGCTTGTCATAACACTTAATATTTTAGGGTAAGCAATCTAATTGCTAATAGCTCCAAGCTACTCTCGGTACGATAAAACGTCGCATCTAATGCTTTCTTGACATTTTATCTCCATTGCCACGACATCTAAGGACTCCTTACCGATATCGTTGAGCTTAACCAAGACAACTTGTATACCTAGTATACCTTACGTTCCTAGGGAAGTAGTGATGCCTCGCTTTGGCATAGCCCATCACATACGCGCATTAATTTGGTAAGTGTTGTTCTTGGAATAGCATGTTTTAGCTCAATATTTTAGGGACCTAGGGTTTCTATGTTGGTTGATTTAAGTGAACTTAATTAATCATCGCAACATTTGAAATCCTAAACATGCACCTAAGATATCATTCACATATATATAAGAACAATTACATATAGCAAACATGAAATAAGATGCATTTGGCAACTAGCATGACCCCTTGAAATCTTCAAATCTTCAAGAGTCTTCATCTTGGCTCGTCTTCATAGAAACGCCGTCTTGAGACATTTTTACCAAAAAAAAATTAATGGCTACTACGACTAGAATTAATCTAAATATTAAGGTACGAAAATACGCAACGGTACGCAGACCGTATTTAGATTTACAAAAATACATAACGGATCGCAATCCATATTTACTATACTAATCAGGCTCCACTAGTTGCCATTTTCACGAAACCTGTGAAACAATATATTTTCCATTCTTCCATTCACTATATGTGAATGGCCCATGCATTTTACAACGAAAAACAACAATACACAACGCGTGCGAACTAGTAACTAACATACGTGGTTAATCCAATTAACGCGCCCGATTAAAACTATTCAAAGTTGTTTAACATTTTATGTGATTAAGACGCAATTATATCATTCATTTAACGAAGCTCCCACTAAATTTCTCATCCAACTTAATTAATCCAATTAATCAAGCCGGTTAACCCAAATTTTGCAAGAGCCGGAAAAACCGAGGTCTAGCCTCGGGTTAAAATAATTAAATAAATTAAAACGGCAAAATTTGCAAAAGCGATAGCCCTAGTTTAAGCAAAAATGGCCCATCCCTAAAACTCGTGGGCTGTGCACCATGGCTGCTATGCAGCCCTTGTTGTTGCGCCTGATTATGCTGGGTGCTAGAATAATTGCCCAGTGTAGCACGTCACGCTAGGTAGAACCAGCAGCACGCTACGCATGCTAGCATGCTCGCTGGCGCAGGCAACGAGTGGCTGGCTGGCTGGGGCTTGCTGCCTCGCTGCCCAGCAGCACGCACAAGCATCTTCCAGCAGCCATGGCCACGCATCCAGCATCAGCGCATAACAGCCCTCGCCACACAGCAGCAGCACCTCAAGGCACAACACCCCTGTGCGCACCTAAGGCAACTGCATGTGGGCTGCGTGGGCAGCCCGGCTAGCCTTGGTGGCGCTTGGGTGTTGTTGCCTCGATTTGCATGCCTTTTCTCGGGATTTTAATCCCGTTGTACGTGTGACATTAAATTAATTCTAAATTTTTTTTAGAATCAATTTAGGGCAAAATGAAATAAAATAAGTCCAACTTAATTAAATTCAATTTTAATGGTGCACAAGCGTAAATCATCCCAAATTACCTTTGAAATAATTTAGGTCTTTCTTGATGCTTTAAAATTGAAGGGCTACACCCATAATTAATTTAACCAAAATGAAAATTAATATTGAGTTTTGACAAAATAGGGAGTTGGAAAAATAAACCCTTTCATCCAATGAAAAATTTCCCAACAATAACTTGTGTAAAATTGAAAAAATTTATATCTTCCAATATGAAGATTAATCAAAATTCAATCACAAGTTTTGAACTTTAAGGACTTTAATCAACACAAAAATGATTAAATCCAAAAATTATTTCAACATGAAATTTAGCAATCAAAGTTCCAACCAAATAAACAATTAAAGTTTGAATCTTTGAAATTTTAGGGGCTTCAAAATTGTTAGTTCACCATAAACATTCACACTTAAAGCAATTTATTTGCAATAATGTGAAAAATACAAGTTTATGTGAAAAGTGAACACACCAAATTAAGCACTAATTATGACTTCATAAACATGCTTAATGAGGTTTATAATTCATTAGATTAGGGATGCAATCATACATTTGATCTACCTTCATCATCAATGAGGTTTATAATAAATAATCAAGGTTAAAAGATTTAAAAATTTTCGTCAAAAACGAAAAACCCCTTCGAAAAACATATTTCTAGGTGGATTTTGTCTTCTGGACAACCCTAAAGACTCAAAAACGATTTAGAACATCGATTCCACCCAAAAATCACTATTTTTGTGTCGAAATCTGGGTTCGTCAGCCAGAAATTTAAATCCATTTTAAATCACATTATTTAATTATTAGTCACAATAATAAAAGTGAGCACGGCTCCAATACCGGTGTTGGGTTTCGTAGAGTCCGACTCTTCGCGGAAGAGAAACCCACCCAAGACCCGCACACTAATTAAAGCAACTAATCATGTAATCACTAATTAAACAACAATTAAGAGAGAGAGAGAGAAAAGACATTCTTACCCTTGGCGCGTGCTTCGCTCGAATCTCGAGCTCTTACTTGAACCCCGCAAATGCGAAGGTCTCCGATGGCTCGTACCCACGAACCCGACCCGAACGATCCAAGTCCCGAAGGTTAGTCGGGACCTGACCAATAAAAACTAGAGTTTTACGAACTTAAGGTTTTCTCACTTTTCTAAGGATATGCCTTTTTAGTTCCACTCAAGTGTTCTTCCCATATCCCAATACCTTGGTATTTATAGGGAAATGAACCTTGAATTCCCACTCTCAATCAATGTGGGAGATTTGCAATTTTCCCATATTATTTTAATTAAAACAAAAATGAAATTGCAATGCAATCAATAAGTTACAAGTGGCACAAGGAGGAAGAGAGATTAGGTGAGGACCATTTCCAAAGGGGGGACCATAGCCTTGGTGCCCAAGGTAATTCCCACAACCCTTGGTCCCCACTTAGCAAATCGGTATCCTCCATGTGGCTGGTAGGCAGCCTGCCTTGGCTGCCAAGGCTGCCAGCTGGCGCCTAGCACCAAGGCTGGGCAGCCAGCCTGCACAAACACGCACACAGCGCAGCAAGCCAGCAAGCACCCCACACACAGCCAGCCCGCATGCGCAGCCAGCCAGAGCATGTGTGCTGCTAGCGAGCCATGCATGCTGGGCGCTGGTGCTATGCGAGGCATTGCGAGTAGCTTGCTTGGAACTGCTATGTGAGGCACACACACCACACGGAAGCCCAGCACGCTGCTGGCTGGTGCGTGGTGCTTGCGATGTGCGAGGCATGGAGCTGCTGCCATGCGATGCCTTGCACGCATGTTGCGCAGCGATGCCTAGGGCTGGTGCGTGCCACTGCCCAGCCTCATGCATAGCGCACCACGCCTAGCATGCTACTATGCGATGGTGCGTGGCTGCGCTGGTGCGACGACCAGTGTTAAGCCTTGCCTTGCGCCAGCGCCTAGTATACTAGCAAGGCCTAGCTTTGCGATGCTTGGGCACATGGCCTGCTAGCACACACACAAGGCTGCGATGCTTGCGGTGACTAGCTAGCATGCATGGGCCTAGCGCGCCTAGCATGCTAGGCTTGCGACTAGTATTGCCATAGGTCTTGCCTAGTCTAGCACTCACATGGCTAGGCCAATGCGAGGCTACGGCTAGGCTCGTACTTGTAACTTGATTGATTTCGCGTCTCGTCGAATTCTAAATTCGACTCGACTTGCGACGCTCGGTCTCGACGCTCTAAGCTCGATATAAGATGGCTTTGTTTGTAAAACTCTGACGACTCATTACATCCTTCGGATTGATTCGTCGTCTCAAATCGGTTGTTCGATTGGGTTTGACTCGAAAGGTTCAGTCAAGATTAAGCTGTAATATTAATTGTACATTAATATTACTGATCGGAAGCGGCCTCCACCTAGGCATTCCGATCACTTGACCTTACTGAAGAATTAGCTATCCAATAATTCTGAACCCTCTATCGGAATAATACACTTGTTGGAAGGACACCATTCCTTTCAATTCACAGACTCGCAGTGTCGCGCCCGTAGCACGAAGGTACGCGCCCTCTCTTGGGGCGCGGCAAGGCATCTCCAGAAAGTGGGGGGGGGGGAGACCTCATTTCTCTGTCCGCGTTCGTGGATACCAGGGCCACGCTTGCGGGTCCTCATGTTCGCGCCAGTGGGTATCTTTGCCACGCCTGCTGATCTCTGGAGAAGGATCTCCTTTGTACGCATTCCCTTTTAGCTCTTGAAACATATGATTCCACCCTTTCTTCTTTCATAACTCCATCTTCACCTTTCAAAAGGACTCCCTTGAGGTGAAAACACCCTCAAACCTTAATCCACAAAAGCAATGCTAAAATATTCAAGTACCTACAAAATAACAACCAAAGACCATAAGATAAAAACCCCTAAAAGAGATCAATTAAAATCTACCAAATAAAGGAAATAAAGAAACAAAAGAGTTGAGAACTCAGGTTGGCTCCTGAGAAGCGCTTCTTTATTAGGTCACTAGCTTGACCGTGAGAAATTATCATCCAAAGTGTGGCTCAAGATCCATCGGATCAAGCCTCATGCATTCAATCAAACCAACGTCATCCTTGCAAAAGTATTTCTTCAAACGATGACCATTAACCATGAACTTGTTGGCACCCTCCTTGAACTCAAAAGACCCATAAGGAGTTGTCCTTGAAATCACGAAAGGCCCTGACCATTTGGATTTGAGCTATCCGGGAAACAAACGAAGCCTAGAGTTGAACAACAACACCTTGTCTCCAACCTTGAAGCTCTTGTTCCTTATATGTTGGTCGTGCCATTTCTTGGTTTTCTCCTTATATAGCCTTGAGTTCTTATAGGCATCATATCTTAGCTCCTCAAGTTCATTAAGCTTGAGCAATCTCTTCTCACCGGCCAACGACATATCCATGTTAAGCTCCTTGATTTCCCACCAAGCTTTATACTCAAACTCAACCGGCAAATGACAAGCCTTCCCATAGATCAACCGATAGGGGGTTGTACCAATTGGAGTCTTGTACGCCGTCCGCAAGGCCCAAAGTGTGTCGTCAAGCTTGAGGGACCAATCCTTCCTTCACTTGTTCACCATCCTTTCAAGAAGGTTCTTGATCTCTCTATTTGACACCTCCACTTGCCCTTGAGTTTGAGGATGATAAGGTAGACCAAATTTGTGATGAACTCCATACCTCTTAAGAAGAGCTTCGAATTGCTTCTTGGCGAAATGGGAACCTCCATCACTAATTAGCACCCTAGGAACCCCAAACCGCGGAAATATGATTCTCTTGCGAAGTTTAAGCACAACCTTATGATCATTGGTAGGGGAGGGTATGGCTTCAATCCACTTAGTCACATAGTCGACCGCTACCAAGATGTATAGATTACCACATGAAGAGACAAAAGGCCCCATAAAGTCGACACCCCAAACATCAAAAGGCTCAACTTCCAAAATGTTTTGTTGAGGCATTTCATCTCTTTTGGTTATGCCACCACTTCTTTGGCACTTTTCGCATCTTGAAACAAAGTTTGGAGCATTCTTATGCATCATCGGCCACCATAGGAGAGATTGAGAAATCTTTGCCACCGTCTTATCAACTCCCCCATGTCCTCTACATGGAAACGAGTGGCAATGCTCAAGAACTCCTTTGATTTCATAGTCCGGAACACATTTTCGGTAAAGGCCATCTCCACACTGTTTAAACATGTAGGGGTCATTCCAAAAGTACCTCCTCACTTCCTTAAAAAACCTCTTCTTTTGTTGAGAAGAAAACTCCGGGGGAATGACCCCGCAAGCAAGACAGTTGGCTATATCCGCATACCATGGGCTAGATGTTGAAGCTATAGCCATGAGAGTTTCAAATCCTACTTCTTCATTGATTGGTACATCCTCCTTCTGTAAAGGATGCCTAGACAAATGATCCGCCACATAGTTGTCCGCTCCCTTTTTATCTCTCATCTCCATCTTAAAATCTTGAAGCGAAAGAACCCAACGGATGAGGCGTGGCTTTGTTTCCTTCTTTATCATAAGATAGCAAACCGCTATGTGATCCGTGTACACAATCACTTTGGAGCAAATAAGATAGGACCTAAACTTGTTCATGGCAAACACAATCGCAAGCATTTCCTTCTTCGGCGTTGTGTATTCTTGAAAGGAATGGTGTCCTTCCAACAAGTGTATTATTCTGATAGAGGGTTCAGAATTATTACAGAGCTAATTCTTCAGTAAGGTAAAGTGATCGTAATGGCTAGGTGGAGGCCGCTTCCAATCAGTAATATTAAGGTACAATTAATATTACAGCTTAATCTTAACTGAACCCTTCGGGTCGAACCCAATCGAACAACTAATCCGAGACGACGAATTAATCCGAAGGATTCAATGAGTCGTCGGAATTTTACGAACACAGACGTCGGATATCGAGCCAAGGGCGTTAAGACCGAGCGTTGCAAAATCACAAGCAACAACTACGACCATAGCCGTAGCATCACATTGGCCTAGCCATGTGAATGCTAGGCTTGGCTAGTTCATTGCAAGCCTAGGCGCACCATGTGTGTGCTAGGCGCGCCATGCATGTGCTGTCGCAAGGCCCAGCCCAGGTAGCACTAGCGCAGTAGCATCGCCCATCGCCCATCACCCATCGCACAAACACAACACCATCGCAGTGCTAGGCATTGGCGTGTGTGCGTGCGTATGTGCCATCGCACAAGCACAACACCATCGCAGTGCTAGGCACTTGCGTGTGCGTGTGCGATGGCTAGGCAGCAGCGCCATGCTAGCAACGCCCAGCGCCCAGCAGCCCAGCAGCATGTTAAGGCTAGTGCGTGCTGGGGCTAGTTGGCTGGTGTGCTGGCGTGCTAGCTGACTGCCAGCCTAGCCATTGCTTGAGGCCGGTTAGAGGGAGGTGGGGACCAATGCTTGGAGCAAAGCCTTCAGTAGCAAGGCAATGGTCTCCCCATTGGTTTTGGTCCTCACCTAACTCTCTCTCTCCCCTTGACACTTGTTGCATGGTGATTGCTTTGATTAATTATTTAATTAAGAATTAAATAAATTATCACATTTACCAATTCTCCTACATTAGTGGGAGATTGAAATTCAAGGGTTCATTTCCCTATAAATACCAAGGGCTTGGCATTTGGGAAAGAACACACTTGAGTGGAACTATATAGGCGTCTCCCTTGTTGAGAATACCTTAAGTTCGTAAAACTCCAAAGTTTATATTTTGTTCGGGTCCTGACTAACCTACGAGACTTAGGACGATCGGGTCGGGTTCGAGGGTACGAACCGTCAGAGGCCTTGCATATGAAAGAACATGGTATTCTATTAGAGTTGATACCTCCCGGAACTCCACAATGGAACATAGTGTTTGAGAGGAGAAATCGAACTCTGTTAGACATGATTCGATCAATGATGGGTCTTAGAGATCTCTTATCTCTTTTTAAGGACATGCACTTCTAACCGCGATACTTACACAGAACTGCGCTCCGTCAAAAGCTGTCAAAAAGACTTTATATGAATTATGGACGAAGAAACCTCGAAGGTTGTCTTTTCTTAAGATTTGGGAAGGTATGCAAGCTTAAGAAGTCCATTTCTGAACTAAAGCAAGCAAGCATAAGTTGGAATCTGCGATTCGATGAAGCCATTAGTGAGTTTGGTTTTATCAAGAATCCATATGAGTCTTGTGTTTACCAGAAGGTCAGTGGGAGTGACATCGCATTCCTTGTCTTATATGTCGATGACATATTGCTCATTGGAAACAACATTCCAATGTTGGAGTCTGGATTGGAAGTGTTTCTCAATGAAGGACTTGGGAGAGGCACAGTACATATTGGGCATCAAGATCTATACGGATAAATCTAAGAGCATGATTGGATTGAGCCAAAGTACTTATATTGATAAGGTATTGGCACGATTCAATATGGTGGAAGCCAAGAGGGGCCACCTACCCATGTCTAACGCATAACTCTAAGCAAGAAACAATGTACAAAGACACCTGATGAGCAAGAGAGAATGAGTCAGATTCCATATGCTTCGCTTATTGGATCGATCATGTATGCCATGATATGCACTAGGCCGGATGTATTGTATGCCTTGAGTGGTACGAGCCGATACCAATCAGACCCAAGAGAGGCGCATTGGACTACGGTTAAGAATATCCTAAAGTACCTAAAAAGGAACAAGGATAAATTTATGATCTATGGTGGGAGTAAGGATTTGGTTGTTGAAGGTTATACCAACGCAAGATTTCAGATTGACATAGACGATTCAAGTCACAATCATCAGGGTACGTGTTCTGTCTAAATGAAGCACGACTACAGATTCTACAACTGAAGCCAAATACATGGCAGCTTCAAAAGCAGGTAAAGAGGCAGTTTGGATTCGTAAGTTCGTTGGTGAACTTGGTGTTGTCCCCTCAATAAACGGACCAATAGACCTCTACTGTGATAATAGTGGGGCTATTGCTCAGGCCAGAGAGCCAAGGGAGCATCTGAAAGTCAAACATGTCATGAGGCGATTTCACATGATAAGGGAATGGAAGTCCAAGGGTGAAATCATAATTTGCAAGATTAGAACGGACGACAATGTAGCCGATCAACTCACTAAACCTTTGCCTCAAGTGAAACACAACAAGCACGTTGAGGCAATGAGAATTAGGCATATTGGAGATTGGCTTTGATTTCCCTATTTGTGTGTTTTAGTTAAGTTGTGGAGATCTTAATATAAAACACTAAGTAAAACCATTCATTTATGGAGTAATTTAATTTTTTCATTAAATTATTATTCGATTTGTATTTAATTGTGGTTTAGAATTAAATAATGAGTCCATTCGATTTGAGAATATTCATATAGGGTATCAAGACAATGTCTTGGATAAAGAAACACCTATTAAGTGAACGTTGAATATCATATCAAAATTATCCCTAATCGAGGTCATTTGAAAGTTGGACGACTAATGACCATGCGAGATTAGTGTGTAGTATGATTTATAGCATCGTTTCTTGTGCTACAAGGACAAGAATGTCATAAATTATTTACATAGGTATTGGTTTGGAACTATACTGGATCGACCTATGAGAATACTTTAAGAGATTTAACAATTGTCATAAGTATATTACTCATTAGGGCTATCGAAACCTCTTTCCTCAACCATCAGTATTGTTAATTCTCGTGTATGAGTATTAGTCCGCTTTGATGTTGTCAAACGTCTCCCGTACAAGGGGATTATAAAGGCAACACTCGGGCGGCTAGGCCCTCTTAGTAAGGGAAGCTAACAATGCAAGACTGAGAATGTCCCCCCTATTAATAGTAGGGAACATGTCTTTGTTGTTTACAAGGCCTCTCGAAGAGCAAGACTATGAAAATGCATGGTCGTATTCAGATGGATTTTAGAAATCATCTGCGTATCGACAATCAAACTCGGAAATTGAAAAACACTTCTGGATGTAATAAAGATGACGTTGAATCATACCTTATAGTTCATGAAGAGACATTAAGTGACATAAGAAACAGGCTATACACAATCAGCACAAGTGCAAGATTGAAAATAATGGTGTCCTTCGAACAATTGTATTATTCCAATAGAGGGTTTGCGAATTAGTTAGGAAAGCTAATTATTCAGTGAGGTCAAGTGATAGGAATGCCTAGCTAGAGGCCCCTTCTGATCAGTAATATTAATGTAAAATTAATATTACAGCTTAATCTTGACTGAACCCTTCAGGTCACACCCAATCGTGTAACCAAATCGAAGGGACAAATTAATCTAAAGGATTAAATAAGTCAATAGAGATTTTACAAACTAAGACGTAGGATTTGGAGCTAAGAGCATTGAAACCGAACGTCAAGCGTTGAGTCATTTCAATGAATCAATGAGATGGAAAAATAATTGACCAACACAATTTAAAGCCAAAACCCTAAAGTCGTAACATCTCATTGTCCTAGCCTCGTGCTAGTCATGCGTGGGCTAGGTCAAGGGGTGCTAGTCGTAAACTGCTAGCATGGCTGCTAGGCCGTGCCACCATGCACAACATGGCAGCCAGCCCAACAAGCCATGCGCACTAGCAAGCCTAGCTAGCCGGGGCTACTAGTGCACCAAGCCTGCATGGCTGTTGGGCGTGTGGTGGCTAGCAGCAGCCCGTTGGCTAGCACATGGGCTGCGGCGGCATGGCAGCCCAGCCGCATGTAATGGAAGCCACTTAGGCTTGCCATTGAGGCACATGTTTGGGGCTGGCCACATAGGGATATATTTGGGGTTGTTAGCTCTTTGCTTCTTCTCCAAGGCATGGTAAGTTGTCCTTACCTAACCTCCCTAATATTGTGACAAGTGTTGTTTGCTTATTGCTTTTGATATTTAATTTAATTTGAAATTGAATTAATTTTTTTTTTGCCTTTTTACCAACTATCCCACATTGAAATATGATGGAAATTTTTGGGGACATTTCTCGATAAATACCCATCATTGGGTATTGGGAATTTCACTTGAGTTGGTGAACTCTAAGGGATCTCCAAAAGCGATAAAACCTTTGTTCGTAAACTCTAAGTTATTTTTGGTCTAGCCTCGTCTAAGCTACGAGGTAGGGACCGGTTACGGTTCGGTAGCGAGGGTGTAAGCCGTCGGAGGTTCTCGCACATGTGGAACTTGAAGCTTTCAAGTCCAAGCTCATCGGTTGAGCGAAGCACGCTTCTAGGGTGAGTATTATTTCTCTCTCTTCTCTTATGTTTGTGTTTATTTGCATGCTTTTATTTATGTTGTAATTATTATGCATACGATTCGGTTATTGGGTTTTGTTTTCGCGTGGTGTCGGACACCGCAAAACCCAACATTAATAACTTCAAGTTCTTGTTAACGAGAAGTTTTATCCTATGCCCTTGTCACTATGACTCACTTGGGCTTGGACTTGGTTGGGGCGAAGGATGAGCATTTGTCACTTGTTGCCCTGGCTTTTGGAATTCTATTTGGCCTAAATGACTTAGAATTCCTACACTTTTGAGTACTTTTAAGATTTCTATTTGTCATTTCTTCCGCCTAGAATCTTTGTACTCTGGGAGTTTAAGCTATACAATATGATTTGCCGAGTGAATCTTCGAGATTATACTTGGTGTTTTACCATTGTATTGGAAATTATACT